GGGACACACTAGCGCCGGCAGCCAGAGGGACTGGGGATCCCGGAAAGCAGGGCTTTGCGATGCCCACGGACTTGGGTTTGACCTCGGGCTCTTGTACGACCTCTGGCCAGTACCTCCGTCCTTAGCCTCAGTTTCCGCCTCTGCTCTGAAGGAGCAGAGGCAGTGAGAGGAGACACGGCCCCCAGTGTTGGAACAGAGAGGCCCCCAGGACCCCCTCACCGTTCCCCTGCCTGTTTTGGCCAGAGCAAGGCTGGTCCTGGCTGCTGGAACTTGAGCTCCTAGATTTAGGGAACGGGGAACGGGGTGGGGCGGGGGGGGGGGGGGCGGGGCGGAGGACACATCCATCCATCCATCCATCAATGGTCCAGAGGGAGATCCCCAGGAGGGGAAAGGTCTGGAAGGGGATGGGCCGCATGCTGGCCCTTCCCAGGGCTCTTGGGCAACGGATAAAAATAGTCCCTGGTCTCAGAGAACATGAGCCGACCCTGGGGCCCAAGGTCTGGTTTGAGCTCTTTGCTCATCTCTTTGTGACTTTGGGTGGATCCTAATCCTTTCTGGGTCACAGCAGCCTCTACTGAGTACTCAGGGATGCTGGGGCCCCAGGGAGACTAGCCACTGGGAAGGGGTCCCAAGGCAGACCTGGGGTCAGGGAGTGTACATGGGCCAAGCTCTGGGTGAGTATGGATTAGCCAAGTAAAGGGGGTTCCATGAATAGGGTCCTTCAGGGCTGGGGGAGGCAGAGGCTGGGTCATACATGTACTCAGGATCCTCCCCACCAGCTCAGGCCCAGGCCCACTCAGGGGCTCAGTAAATGCAAGATCCCTCTTTCCCACCCCCCGCCCCCCTCCACAGCTCCAGTCTGAACTGAACCTGCTGCTTCCCAGACATCTCCATGACAACCATGGCCTTGGAGAAGCCTGATGGAGGCCTGGGCAGCTGCCAGGCGGGTGAGGACCTCTCTGGGCTGGCTGATCTCTGACCAGGCCCCAGGAGAACCGGGCTGGCGATATCCTTGGGGGCGCTGGCAGGGTGAAGACCATGCCCCCCCCCCCGCCCTGTTCTGAAGATGGCTCCCCTTCAGAGACCAGGACTTGGGCCCTCACACTGGCTTAAACTGTGAACTGTGCTCCCATTTCCCACCTCTGGTTCATTGGTGCCTCAAGGGGTCTATAAGAAGCGCTCCCCCGTCCCTGCTGCCCCCCGCCCCCCCGCCATAAAGAGGGGCTGGGACACACGGGTTGGGGTTCTAATCCCCGCCTGCCAGGGAACTGCTGTGTGCCTCTCAGCGGCTTTCCTATCTGTAAAGTGGGCACAATTAGCTGCCCTGGGGGAGGGTGGGATTGGCCTGAGGATCCCCACAACCTTGAGTCTTCCTCTTTTCCCACTAACAGTGACACCCAGGCTGGCTGACTCCAGCAGCTGGGCCCACGTGAGTAGCTGGAGCTCCCCTGGCATCGGGGACACACTGGCCAAGGAGGGTGGGTTTCTACAGTCCCTACAGTCCATGGGAAGGTGTTGGGCTCCCCCAGAGGAAAGACCGGAAGGAAATACCCAAGATGACTGGTGACTCCCCACAGGATTCTCAGGAGCCAGAGGCTGAGGGTAGCCCTGTGGGTAAAGTGGATGCCAGGCCCCAGAAGACCGAAAAGGAGTCTGTGGCCAAAGTGGCCCCAGGACCCAGCAAGGAGAGGCTGAAAGCAGGAGCAAGTCGGTTTGCAGGAGGCAGGGGTGAAGTGGGGGGGTGGGTCTGGACTGACTGGGGGGTTGGTCCGAGGTTGGCTGGGTGGATCTGGGGGAACCGGGTGCTGCAATGTTGGCTCCTGGCTGAGTGGTGACCAGGTGTCACAGGTAGTAACTAGAAGGTCTGGGAGCTTCTGCTAATTCATTATGACACCAGCTAAGGTGCTACTAAGCTTCAGCTAATTATCCGGAATATTCTCCGCATAAGAGAACCCCTGAAGCTGCCAAATTAGTCCCCTGCCTAGGGCCACACAGCCAGGCAGGGCTGGGCCGGGTTTAGGGTGCAGGCCCGCCCTGGGAACCGCGCCCAGCCCCACACTTGCTCCTGAAGCCCCAAGGAGCCCCGCGCGCAAGAAGACGCAGGCCGCGCCACCCCCGCCGCCGCCGCCGCCGCCCCCGGCCCTGAGCGAGGAGCTACCCTGGGGAGACTTGTCGCTCAACAAGTGCCTGGTGCTCGCCTCGCTGGTGGCGCTGCTGGGCTCCGCCTTGCAGCTGTGTCGCGGTGAGCCTGTGCCCCGGGCCCGAGTCTTACACGTCCCCCTCCTGATGGACAGGCCCACGTCACTCCCCGTCTCCCCTCGGCCACTCCTTTGCCCTAGCATGGACCTTGTGCGCGGTCCTCCTCTTCTCTGCACCCCCAAGGTCCGCCCGGCCCCTCTCTCCAGGATGGGCTTAGCGTGCCTCCTTCTCGACCCCCCGCACCCCCCGGACCTCGCAGTGGTGGAGGGGAACCTTCCCCCCCAGTAAGGAGCTTGGTGCACCTCCCTGCCGGTGAATGCTCCCCCCACTCTCCCAGGGGCCTTGCACACCCAGCATGAGCCACGGGCGGCCCGCAGCCCGCGGAGAAATATGACCGGTCCTTTAGCAGCCGGAATGCGATCTGGAGCGACGGGGGCGCCCGCAGCAGCGGGACCCGCACTTTTTCCAAGGGCTCGGAGGCACGCAGCCCAGCTCCGAGTCCTGGGAGAATCGGCTCCTGCTCTCCACCCGTCCCCGGAAGAGGGCGCCGTACAGCGGCGAGGGCTGGGAGGGACCTGGGTCGGGCTCTTGGCGCCGGCTGATTCGCACCCGCTCCCGTCCCCGCTCAGACGTCGTGGTTGGAGTGGCGGCCCCCCCTGCCCCTGTCCCTGAGCCGTGGGTCCCTCCACGCTCTGCGCCAAAGAAGCCGGCGTCGCCCCCGGTAAGCGTTTCCTTCAGCGACTCGGGGCGGCTGAGCCCTCTTTTGAGGACGGGGCTGTGCCCGGGGGTGGGTTTGCGCCGATTCCATCCGCCCGCACTGCGTTGCAGCTGAAGCCCGAGGCCTGGACTCCCCCAGCGGGACCCCCTGCGCCCCAGGTGCAGGCAGAGGAGAAGACAGAGGTTCCCAGGAGTGCGGAGGCTGCAGAAAAGGAGGAAGGGGACTCTGAGGAGGCCGCTGGGGAGGAGCGCGCGCCCCTCGCCCACGAGGGGCCCAAGGAGAGGCCGCAGAAAGAGAGGCCGCGGAAGGAGAGGCCGCGGAAGGAGAGGCCGCGGACTGAAGAGAGACCCTGGAAGCCGGAGAAGCCACGGCCCGCCAGGGAGCCCCGGGAATCCCCACCCCAGCGCTGGAAGGCACGAGAAGAGGGCCATCGACCGTGGGTGCGGGACCCCAGAGACCCTAAGCACCGGAAGAGGCAAGCCTGGGCCACTCCGCGACGCCCCAACGCAGAGGACTGGCCTCCGGGCCGCCAGAAGCACCGCGCGGGGAAGGGGCGAGACTGAGCCGGGCCCGGGTCCCGCGCCGGAACCCCGGGACCTCTTCCGAGTAGCCCCTGGTTCTAGCGAAATAAAGCGAGTGCTGTGGCCCCCACGTCGCCTGCCCGTTTGCACCTGGACCTCGGATGTAGCCCGGGGCCTGAATGACTGGGATGGGAACTTGGGGGGAGGAGGGGGGGGTAGAGAAGGGAGGAGGCAGTGCCAACCGGGTGACCCAGCCCCGCGCGCCAAAGGAGGGCTGGCTGAAGGAGGCCCCGCCTGCCCCCAGAGTGCACGGACACCTCAGCCGTGTGCTTGTGGTCTTTATTGGGGCGATGATTCGGGTCCGAATAAATATGGACAGGGGCGCCACTCGCGGCGCGGAGTTA